GCAAAACGCACACCCGTGCGTTTTGCTGTGCACGTTGTCTTCCTCCCACCCCGAGCCACCCCAAGTCAGGGGGTGTCACAAAACCCAGGTGACCCCAAACAGGGACAGGCTTTATCTCCATCCTTTGCAGAGGGCTTAGCGGTGACATCCCAGTCCTGGGTGGACAACGTGTCTCTGCCAAGCCATGAGGACTCTTCGTCACGAGCTGTGTCCCCATGGGTGGCGGTGGGGTGGGTGATGCCATCGCAGGTGGTCTTTGCTCTTCATTAGTCCCTTCAGATCTCAATGCAGCACATTGCGTGTCGTTAATTTTGCTTTGTTAAGAAAGCGCCCTGCTGTCACTAATTAAGCATCTGTAATTAGCCAGGCTGCTTGGCTTCCTGCTCGAATGCAGGGCTCCCTCCAAGCTGTGGGGGTCAGGGGGGGTGGATTGTGAGCCTCTTGCACCTGCTGGGGGGTATACTGGTGGTTGATGAGGGTGCTGGGGCAATATGGGGAGTTGCTGCTGGTCAGTGATGGGAAGCAGACTGGGATGCTTCTGGCTGTGGTGTGGGGAGAGCTGGACCTGGCCTGCAGCTCGCTCCTGGTGAGGATGCTGTGGGAGCAGCAGCCTGAAAATGGGGTGCAATGTGGGTGAGCATGGGGTTCCCCAGGGTTCAGTGTCCCCCCCCTGCTCACCACGAACAAGAGACAAGTTGGGGCAGATGTGGTTTGAGTGCTGGAAGGTGTCCTTACCTCTGCTACCACCCCACTTAGGGGTGACAGCCCTGCAGAGCTCCAAGCAGGAGACTTCAGGGCTGGTGGTCATCTGGAGCTCAGAGCATGCAGAAAGATGGTGCCCAGGCAGTTGCACCTAAAATCTCCTCCTTCTGCCCCCATTGCACACGAGGACTGCCCTGTCCCTCTCCTGGGGTCCCTATGGAAAGGAGGGCTCATCCTCCCCCAGCCCAGGACCGAGCTGTGCTCTGGCACAGGCAGATCTTCCCCTGCAGCAAAGCTCAGCCTGGCTCCTGCTGAAGCTGGAGAAGCAGCTCCTCAATGTGGAGCAAAAGAGCCATGTTGGGTTGCGGGGTGAAGGTGCATCCCCTCCAGCTGGGAGCACCCCGAGAGGCTGAAGGACTGGCTGGGTAGAGCAGCAAGAGCAGAAGTGAAGGAGACCATCCAGAAGCTGAGTTTGATGGGAACCCAGGCTGGTGCACAAAGGTTTCCACATCTGTATAGACGGAAGGAGAAGGAGGAGAGGAATCTCCCAGGGATGGGGTGGACAGGAAGGGTGGACTCACAATGTGACCCAATCTTAGCTTGAATATGAGAATAATGAGAGGTCTGGAGGGAGGATGAAGCAATGAGATTGCAACACCAATGGTGGAAGTAACCCCCGGACATTTGTCTGGGTCAAGCTGGTGGAACTGGGGCACCCTTCAGCTGCCAGCATGGAGAGCATCACGCAGATGGGAGCCCAAAGGCATCTCTTTGCACCCACATCAGCAGAGCCAGGGAGAAGGTGTGGGTATGGGGGGGCAGAGCAGGGGGGATGCAGAGGGGTTTTGCTGAAGATAGGTCGCATCTGATGAGGGGCAGGGCTGCTGGGTGTGACCCAGGCGACGTGATGCCTCTCTCCAGGATGGTACGATGGGACTGTTTGCCCCAGAGCCCTGGTGGGCTTGTTATGGGAAGGCATGAGCAGAGGTCCTGCTCCCAGGCTTGTGCCCCAAGGGTCAGAGATGGATGGATGGGTCTGGGCAGCAGCACGTGGATGTCACTGTCAGAGCTCGGGACAAGGAGCAGGGGGGCTGGGAGATGCTGTTGGTGGCTGAGATCAGGCCAGAGTTATCCCTGCAATGACAATGACCAGAGTTATCCCTGCAATGACAATGACCAGAGTTTCTTCAGAGCAGCCTAGAGCTGTCCTGGATCCTGCGTGCCCAGTGCGAACGCAACAGAGCGGAAGGAGGGCTAATTACAGGCCTGCTCATGCTAATTGCACCCATGTAAACACCTAACGCAACGCAGCCCCCGGCTGCCAGCTGGGCTCAGGGCTGGCACGTCCTTCCACCCGGGGTGGGAGCAGGGTGGGTGGTGGGGCTTGGACCCCTTCAGCATCACCAGGACCTTGGTGATGGGTCCTGGTCCTCGGGAGGAGATGGGCAGAGGGGCTAACAGACTGGGGGGAGTGGGGAGATGGGGAGCCCCAGCACCACGTGCAGCAGCAGCAGACCCGGGCAGGGAGCAGCAGGGAGATCTTTTCCCATGATCTGGTGCTCTGCAAGGGTGAGGTGCGAGGATTAGCCATGATGCCAACAGGGAATTGCGTCAAGCTTTGCTGAGGTGATGGGCATGGATAAGAGCCAGCTCCCAGAGTCCCTACTGTCTGAAGTCCCCCTTTTTCCAGGGTTGGGGGTCCCTGTGGCCAGGTGCCCAGAGCGTGGACACTTTTCTGGGCAACAGATCTGGTTGCATCAAGTCGGAGGCACTGCAATGGCTTGTAACAGCCCAGGAGGGCACTTACAAGCAGTGACCCCATGTCCCTGGTGTTGACTCACCACCACCCTCCATCCTTGGTGGGGTAGCCTGCCTGCCGTCCAAGCCCGTCCACCCTTAAGCCTCTGTGCAGGGTGAGACACACACAGCACCTTCCCCCGGACCAGCCCCTAACGCCCACACGCTGCTCTGCTGAGCCACTTGCCACGCTCCTCGGCGTCCCCTGCTCCACTCGCCCGGCTCCCAGGGACACGGGCTGAGCTCCCCAGCGTCCTCCTGCCAGGGCAGCATGATGGAGGCGGTCCTGCTCCAGGGGCTGCTGCTCCTCCTCTCCCTCGCAGCCCTGCTGCTTTACTGGTACAACACGACCTTCCACTACTTCTGCAAGATGGCTTTCTTCAACATCTGGATCATAGCCATGGCCATCCTCCTGTCCCCTATCGCAGCTCTTCGGGGACGCTCCGTGGAGAACATGAAGTGAGTACGGCTTGGGGATGTGCTTCTGATGGAGAGATGGCTGGGGCTGGGCTGCGATGGAGGAGCTTGTGTGGGCTTGTGGACAACATTCTCTCTCCTGTGCTGGGCAGACTCACAGCCGTGTTACGGCCGGTGGTTGAGCCCTGGGGCCACAGCGAGGGCTGCGGTCATGTCCATGCAGCAATGAAGGTGTATCTGCATCTTGTGGTGTGGTGAAGAGGTGCTGGCCATGCCCATGGAGGGTTACGCCACGATGGAGGTGGCCAGTTGGGTCAGGACTAGTGGTCCCCGGAGGATGAAGTAGCGTAAAAGAGATCATTCGTGGCCATTGCAACACTGGGGTCACCAGTTGGGTGGATGATGGGGGTTTTGGCAAAGGTTAGAGGTACAATTGTTATCGGGATGCAAATGCACGGCCCATCGCCATCTCCCCAGCAGGGCAGACAGATCTTGCTTGGTGGGAGCCCCTTTGCTTTGGCAAAGGGATTTTGGGGATGTCTTGGTGCCACCAGCCATCGGGAATGGCACAGTCATGTCCCAGCGCGTCATGTACTGGTGGTATCAGCTGTGCTCAGGGGCGGCAGCAACTGAGATAACATCACTGTGCAACACGAGAAGAAGGTCTGGTTGCTTTCAAGGGTGTTGCAATCTTGTTACTGGATTCCTGGGCATGATAGCATGCCAGAAGGGATATAGTCATGTCAGAGTGAAAAATGTCTGGGCCTGTGGCATTCGCTGAGCTCCAGCCATCACATATCTGTGCTGATGGATTTTGAGCCCTTGGCAGGAGTGTGGTGAGAGGTTTTGATGTTATCGGTTCATTGTGTAGCCTCCTTCTCTCATCCTCTCCATGGAGAAAGCATCCGGCGGTGCTCTGAGCCCTGCTGCAAACATTTCCAGCTCAGTGGAAACACCAGCGTGACGCAGCGGTGACTCACTGCCTTACCTTGTCCCACCGACACCTTGCAGCCATCCTCCACCCAAGCAGCATGCCCAGCTCCAGCTCATCCTCCAAATCCCAAAGCCTCTGGCTTGGAGCACGTTCCTCTCATTAGTCCTGGCTTTGGGGCACTGCCACAAGCGTTCTCCTTCTCTGCAGACACAGGGATCTCTGAGCCCGTGTCTCCCAAGGAAAGGGTGGTCCTATGACACAAGGGACCCTCTAGACATCATGCCGCCTCCTCCCTCTGTGCCTGCCTCTATTCTTGCGTCCTAAACTTCTTCTCATCCCTACCTGGTGCTGAGCTCTTGCTGACAGCCCCGTACCCTCTGGGCTCCCTGGGACTAACTGCTGACAGATTTGTGGACCTGGGCATGGGTGCTTTTTGTAGACTCACAGAAAGGTTTGGGTGGGAAGGGATCTTAAAGCCCACCCAGCGCCACCCCCTGCCATGGGCAGGGACACCTCCCACTAGCCCAGGTTGCCCAAAGCCTCATCCAGCCTGGCCTTGAACCCCTCCAGGGATGGGGCATCCACAGCTTCTCTGGGCACCCTGGGCCACTGCCTCACCCCCCGCACAGGAAAACATTTCTTCCTCAGATCTCATCTCCATCTCCCCTCTTCCAGCTTCAAACCCTCACTCCTCGTCCTGTCCCTGCCCCCCCGATCCAGAGCCCCCCCATCTCTCCTGTAGCCCCCTTTCAGCACTGGGAGGTGCTGGAAGGTCTCCCCGGAGCCTTCTCTTCTCCAGGCTGCACACCCCCAACTCTCTCAGCCTGTCCTCGCACGGGAGCTGCTCCAGCCTCGGACCATCTCCGTGGCTCCTCTGGCCCCGCTCCAGCAGCTCCGTGTCTGTCCTGTGCTGAGGACCCCAGAGATGGACACAGCACTCATACTTTTCACACCGTGGGTTGGAGAGTGCCCCATTTCAACACCGAAAGCGTACTAGGTTTTCATCTCCACTGCTGGTGCTGCAATCCCTGTTGCTCCATCCTCCCTCCATTGCTCCTGTTATTCTCCTACTGAGCATCACCCTTTATCAGCACTGCCATCCTGATGTCACCCTTCCTGTCCAACCCTCCCTGGAGAGTGACACCACTTCTCCTCCTTCCATCTCTTCCTGACACAGCAGCAAAGCTATTATTTGTGATTTCCTCTAATGAATGAAGCTGACTCGGTTTTCCCTGCCCTGATCTCTCTCCCCTCCACCTGCAGCACAAAGCCTGGAGCCTCCAGCGCTGCCCTTTGGCTGCTCGGTAGGGACGGTCCCTGGGGACATCCCCATCCCTGCAGACCTGTCTTCCCAAGGCTGTTCCTCTGCTCGTCCATCTTCAGTGCTCATCCATCTACAGCTCTGTGCCTCTCAGCTGCGACCCAGCTCCTCTGGCTTTAGGTTTCTGCAGCCCAGGCTGTGAGCCAGCGTCTGGGTTTCCAGCCTGCACGTGGGGGAGCCTCGGGGTGAGGCTCGCCTGGCCAGAGGCAGTTGTCCTCATTGGGATGTGACGATCTGCACCGTGGCTGCAGGCAAATGCATCATCCCTTCTCCTCCTGCTTTCCCATCATCCCTGGATATCAAAAAAACTTTTTTTTTTTTTTTAAACCAGCTTCCACTAGCTGCTCTTCTTCATCAGCAGCTCCAGAGCAGACCTTCTACCACTGAGGCAGCAGTAGAAAGTCTGCACTGGAGACCACCAGTACGGACCCAACTTGGGGATGGTTACAAGGTTAGCTCTGAGCTATACAGGCTTAGAAAGGCAAAGCACCACTGAGACCAAACACAGATCCGCCTTGGGACACACTATTTGCTCACGCAGACCAGATCTAGCCTGGCCCATCTTGCACCTTGCTCCCTGAGTGATTGTGAAGGGCTGGAAAAAAATAAGCAGCCCCCTCCCCGTGTCAATCTTCTCCCCACGTGTTCCTCTGCCCTAGGCTCCTGCGTGCTGCCATCCTGCCCCTCAAACACTTCTACGGCATCAAGATGCAGGTGTGGGGCTCTGAGCATCTGAACATCAAGGAGCCCTACGTGATCGTCTGCAACCACCAAGCTTCCCTTGATGTCATGGGTACGTGCAAGGGAGATGGGGGGCTCACCAGTGCATAGGCAGCCTTTGGGGTGCTGCAGGGGTGGACTAGATGCACCCTGGGGGATCCCAGCAAGGCCAGCACCAGGGTTTGGATGGGGTGGTGTGGTAGGTGTAGGCCAGAAGAGCTGGGGCTCAGGGCTATGGGTGTGCTGCAGGGTTGGGGTGATGGAAGATGGTGACAAATCACTGCAGCCACTGGGCTGGTTGGTTGTGGGTGCTGTTGGACAGGGATGGATCCTTTCCTCTCCCATCCATCCTCCAGGCATGATGGAGGTCATCCCTGAACGCTGCGTGCCCATCGCCAAGAAGGAGGTCTTGTACATGGGCATTGTGGGGTTCGCCTGCTGGCTCAGCGGCTTCATCTTCATCAACCGCCACAAAACAGAAGATGCAATCAATGTCATCTCCCAGACGGCCAGGACCATGCGGCGTGAGAATGTGAGGATGGGGGCTGGCAGCAGGGGGGAGTTGGGGAGCAAACATGGATGGGGCAAGGGGGGAGGACTGAGACAGCAGGTCCCAGGGTGCTCTGGTGGGGTCCATGCTCACATCTCTCCCTGTCCCATGCAGCTCCGAGTGTTGATTTTCCCTGAAGGCACCAGGAACCAGGACAAATCCATGCTGCCCTTCAAGCGTGGGGCTTTCCACTTGGCCGTGCAGGCTCAGGTGAGGACATCCTCCCCCTCCCTTGATGGAGCGGGGTAGTCATGCACCCTGGGGCAGCGGGATGGGGGGCATCAGGGTCTTTTGGGGTCTGCAGTCCCCAGGGACAGGCACCGTGCTGTCCAGGACCCAGGGAGGGGACAGGGACCTGCTGAAACCTGGGGCATGGCAGGAGCTGAAGTCCCACCTGGGGAGGAGGTCTGTATGGAGGACACCTCTGACCCTCCATCTCCTACAGGTTCCCATTGTCCCTGTTGTGATCTCCCCATACTGGGATTTCTTCAGCTCCAAGGATAAGAAATTCACCCCTGGTAAGTGATGGATGAGAAGCCCCATTGCTGGAAGGTTGGGCTGGCCGTGGGGATGAGGCACGTGGGGCTTGGAAGTCTCTTAGTGGGACACTGAGGCATGGGGAGGCAGCTGGTGGTGAAGGCAGCTGGTGGTGGAGGATGCGGGTGGGAAGACCTGGTCCCTGGTGTGTTTGTCTAACAGCATCCCCAGCCTTTCCCTTCTCTCCCCAGGGACGTGCACCATCCGAATCCTCCCCAAGGTAGAAACCCAGGGCCTGAGCCCAAAGGATGTCCCCGAACTGACAGAGACTGTCCGCCAGGCCATGGCTGATGCCCTCGCCAAGATGTCTGCGCATCACCACGGGGACCAGCGCCCCGAGCAGCCCCCGCTCCCGCCCTGTGCTGGGGCCGGTGGTGCTGGCAGGGGGCTGGGCAGCCCCCAGGGCAAGGAGGAGACAACCGAGACCAGCGATTAGGGAGAGGGACTGAGCCCCTCGGGGACATAACGGAGGTGG